AGTATCAATTTATGGATGGAGTGAAAAGGAACTTATTCCAATTAGAATTGCATCTAAATCCAAAGTACATAATAGATGTAATTATAAAGAAGGGAATTGTCGACCATGTAAATTGATTAGGCTTTTATTAATTACTGGAGATGACTCTGAAACAAGAGAGCTATCTCAACATTATTGTTTGATTTAAGAAAGAGATAGATTAGGAAAATTAGCTGGATATACAACTAAACACAATGGCAGGTTATATGTTTGTGATTATTGTGTAAGCCACTGAATCTATAACTCCAAGATTGATACTCAGTATATGAAAGATTGTGAAGGAATTAATACTCCAGTTCAAAAAACAGTAATGCCATTGGTAGGCAAAAATATATATATATTTAGACAATATGAATGAATGTTAGATGCACCTTTTACTTGCATAGCAGAGCTGAAACTCACTCTACTCTGATTGAAAAAAATCAAGGATCAAAAACAACAGCAATCCAAAAACATAAAGTTATATCATTTAATTATATAATTAGGCGTAGTGATGGCAAAACCAAAGCGCCAATAAAAATTAGAGATGACAATCCTGCTGGAGAATTTATTAAAGCAATGGAAAAAGAAGTAGAACAATGTTAAGACTTTCTCGCAAGAGGTCATATAATACAAAATTCTGCAAAGAAATTAATCAAAATGTTACAATTAGGAATAATACCAGAAGAGATAGCAGAAGATTATATTACTAGTATTAATATATTTCAATTATGGGAATTAGGTAAAATTAATCTCAATTTTAGTAAAGAATACAAGAAATTAATTTATCTTGAACATTACTTAAAAGGTCTTTACCAAGCTCATAAAAGAGATCCTCTTGGAATAGATATAGGAATAATGTACTATTTAGCAAGTACAATTTATTGTAGGCTTCGATGGCCTGGAGAGCCAATGAAAAAATTAACTACTCAAGAAGAATAATTTGGCTAAAGAATGTTGGATATGTGAAAAACTATTTGAAAAGAAAATAATCTTAAAAAAGTTTGAGACTATGACCATATTACAGGTAACTATAGAGGTCCAGCCCATAGTATTTGTAATCTCCAACTATGAATCAAACCAGAGGAGTTTAAATTACCAATTCATTTTCATAATTTAGATAAGTTAAACTTACTATGTAAAAAGCTTGGTTATCTTTATCGAATTGACTCAAATAGATGTTTTGCTCATCTAAAGAGATTTTTTATAACTAGAGAACATGGACCAAAAGAAAGGGATGACTTAGTATTTCGTAAAGCTCCTTTCCCATATGATTGGTTTAATACACCAGAAAAAATAGATACTACTTCTCTTCCTTCTATTGAGGCTTTTGACAGTATTCTTAACAAATCTAAATGCTCAAAAAAAGCCTATAAAATAGCACAGGAGGTATAGGAATCTTTTGATATGAAAACATTCAGAGATTATCATGACTTTTATCTTAATTTTGATGTACTATTATTAGCAGATTGTTTAGAAAGATTTCACAAATTAATGAAAAGTAAATTTGAATTAGATATTGCTCACTATGTTTCTCTCTCTTCATTTGCAGAAAATGCTTTATATAAAACTACAGGACAAGAGATTGAGCTATTTACTGATGATAATATATATCTCTTCTGTGAGAAAGGTATCAGAGGAGGTATTTTAATAGTAAGTAATCGTCAAGTTGAAGCTAATAATCTACAACATTCTGATTTTGTTTCAGAGACAGAAGAAGCTATGAAAAAACTCTATACTTGGCTATTATATGTTGATGCTAATGCATTATATACTGGAGCAATAATGCAATATATATCAACAGGAGGACATAGATGGATAATACCAGAAGAAACTCCAGACCTTTTTAATAAAATTACCAAGTGGGAGATCCCTGATAATGCAGAAAAATGCTATATTTTGGAAATAGCTCATACTTTATATCCTTTAGCTCCTGAAAATATCGAGATTTCTAAAGAGGAAATGAGTAAGTGTGAACAAGAGATTATTAATGATTTAAAACATTATACAAAGACTAAGAAACTTATTCCAAATCTCAATAATAAGAAAAAGTATATAGTTTATTATTAAGCATTACAATTTTATATAAAGCAGGAAATGGTACTTACTAAAATTCACTGAGCTATAGAATTTAACCAAAACTCATAGATGAAGCCTTTTATAGAAGAATTGGCAAGATCTTGTGCTTTATCTAAGAATAATTTTGAGAAAAATATATATAAGCTCCTTGGTAATGCAAACTATAGAAAGACTATAGAAAATGTATGCAAATATCAAAGAATAGATTTTGTTAGACCAGAAGGAGAATCGAAAAAGTTTAAAAAATTAGTAGCTAATTCCAGTTATAAGTCACATAGAATTTTAGCAGAGAATTTAGTAGGTATTTCTCATCATCAATCAAAAGCTAGACTTAGTAAACCTATTTTTATTGGTATGTCTGTTCTTGATGAAAGTAAGATTACTATATATAATTTCTATTATAATATTATAAAAAAACGATATGGGGATAATGTTGAAGTGGTATATACTGATACTGATTCTCTTATATTACTTATTCGAACTGAGAACGTTTATAAAGATATGGCAGAGATGCATGAACATTTTGATTTTAGCGATTATAAGTCAGAACATCCTATATACAAAGCTCTCGGAAAAGAAAAGATAAAAAAGTTCCTAGTAAGTTTAAGGATGAAAGTTGCGGTACTGCTATGTGTAAATTTTGTAGACCAAGACCTAAGCTCTATAGTTATATTCTTGCTAATGGAAAAACAGATTGAAGAGCTAAAGGAGTACAAAAGGTAGTAGTCAAAAAAAACCTTACTCATAATATGTATGAAGATTGTTTAAAATCTCAAAAAGAATATATAGTAACAATGTATAGATTAGGAAGTAAAGACCATATTATCAGACTTCTTCGTTTATCTAAAGTTGGTATTAGCCTTTTAGATACTAAGAGATGAATTTTATCTGATGGAATTACTACATTAGCTTTTGGGGATTGGCATATTATTGCATACAATAAATTTATAGCAAGGGGAATATCTTATAAGAAAGCTGAAAAAAGAATAATGATGCTTGAACTAAAACCAGAATATTAATAATCGAATATTTATGATCAATTTATTTTTTATCTATGGCAGAAGAATGTTATAATATTAAGAAAAAACCCCCTTCTTTATTATTGCAAAGCAATAACCCTCCAGATCTAATAAAATTTTTTTTTGCCAGAATAATAATATACAAATAAAATAATACAAATACAAATAAAAATTAAAAGCTATAATAACTACGAACTTTCAATACTTTTGAAAATGTTACAGGGTTGATACCAGGGTAATTACATAGTATTTGATAATTGAGAATTATGCCTACACCAGATAGCTTTTTTTAATCACTTTCTGAATTGGAATTGTTAGTCTTGGGGTGGTGCTATAGTTAGTCTTGGGGGTGGTAGCATTATTAGTCTTGGGGGTGGTAGCTTCATTATTAGTTTTGGGGATGATATTATCTTTAGTGCTTATTTCATGTTCCTAAATACAAAAAAATTTAGTAAGTCAAATTTATTTTTATAAATACCGTTAGACAAAATAACATTACTTTAAAATTGGGAATAGGTTCTAATATTCCTAATACTTCAAGATATTCTCTTTCAGCTTCTGGTGATAGAATAGTCTTAGCAATTTCTGGAGAATCAAATAATCTCAATGCATCAAGAAATTCTATTTCTGGATTAGCTGGCAGAGTTGGATTCTGATTTGGTAAATCTTGGTGGTGACATGAATATTTATTACTATTATAATGTTTCCGAAGTTTTTGTGGTGTTGAATATATATGCCCACAGCTTTCACATGTATGGTTTTGTTTACGAGTCTTTTTGGTTTATTATTTACTTATAAAAAATTGTTTAAATTGAATTTTTACCTTATATAAAAATGAGTACTATATATACTTGCTCTTTTGTTGATTATTCTGGTGAAATTTGTATGCGTCGTAGTACTCGCCCTGAGGTTGCTGTTTTCATTATAAAGCTTTACCCCATAATCCCTGCTTTGAATGTAGTAAACCTACTCGTTATATTTCTGATCGTTGCTCTAAACATATTAGAGAGTTTTATGTTTCTAAATATTTTCAGAAACATCTTAAGAAAAATTATATATAAAATTGGTTAGAGTTTTGTCCCAAATTTTTGGTTAGAGTTTTGTTCCAACTTTTTGGTTAGTTTTGTCCAACTTTTTTATGATTTTTTGCTATCTTTTAGTGACAATTAAAAAGCAGAGTGCTATATATATTTTGGTTAGGTTTTTTATAAGTATATAATAAAACTAATTTTGTCTCAACTTTTTATTCTGTCGGTATAAAAGAAAGGCTTCAAGTGACGATTAAAAAGCAGAATGCTATACATATTTTGATTAGGTTCTCTATAAGTATATAATAAAACTAATTTTGTCCCAAATTTTTGGTTAGAGTTTTGTCTAACTTTTTTATGATTTTTGCTATTGATAGAAAGGCTTTGAGTGATGATTGAAAAGCAGAATGCTATCCCTTAATATGTAGACCAACGCAGGCAAATTTGCCTGCGTTTTTGCACTTTTTTAGCTCTGATTTACTTT